AGTTATTATTGGGAAATAATAATATTTTGTGAATATTTTAAAGTGCTTGAATAATGAATATTCGAATAGTTATATTTTATAAATATTTTCTTCTTATTATAACAAAATATTGTACCATATAATTGCATAAAAATGTTAACTTAACATTTTTATAAAGTCTTAGTAAAAATGTTTTTGAAAATAAATGATTAAAATGTTCTGTAAATGTTTTTATAAAATATTTTCAAAAACATGAACTTCTTGGCCAAAGAATATAACTGAAATATTTTCCAATTATTGACTCAACTTTTTAAAATATTTTGACAACTATATTACTTTCCTGAAAATATTTATTAACTATAGTTAGGAAATATTTTTATACTGTGTGGCCTATCAATAGATTGTTAAATTTTGGTCGGCATTAGTGTTTCACATTAATCGCTTCAGTGGCTAGTTTGCAAAATAATTAGTGGTGGCACTTAAAAAAGTTTTTACCCAAACAGACTTAATATTCAATACAAAAATTCGTTAAAACGTCTTAAATTGTTGGACATTTAGACTTAATGAAAATTCCATTGTACAGTACCTATGGCCATGCGTTATCAGATCGACAATTATTTTTTTATGAATGCGTCAACATAAAAATACCGATACGGAAGAGTGTGGGCTGGTATACTAATAGATCAGAGAAACTGCTTTCTAGTGATAAAAAACTACACTTTTTTAAGTTTTTTATACTATCCAAACGATAGTGGTGAGACTATGATGGGGCGCAAAGGGCCTTTAACACCCCCGATTTCTAATTTAGCGGACACCAGATCAAATCTAGCAGCCATAGTTTTTTTTTTTTCAGTTCTAAGTGCCGAACTATTTTATTGTGGTGAAATTTTCATTTCGAAATGAAGCGACGACGGTCGTCACCTAAAAAATATGTACACGTCTATAATATGAACGCCGCGAGGATCGAAAACGGCTTTCGGCCCGGGGAAAAGTTTAATCACGAGCGACTGCAAATTACACGATAATACTACGGCGGCGGCGGTGGCGGTCGCCTCTGCGGCTCTATTTATTCTTTATTCGCCGGGTTTACGGTGTAAAGCCCTGCCACGAATTACCGTGCGTGTCCGGTCGTGGTCGGCGATAATGCCGGTACGTGCGGTCGGCCAATCGCACGTACGCCACGCGTAAAATCATAAACGGTCGGGAAAACCCTCGACCGGAGGGTAGGGGTTGCGGGAGGGATTGAGAGGGGGAAACGCGAAAATTACGAAAACAAATAAAAAACGGGGGCGAAAAAATATAAGCAGGATATGCGAGACCCGGGACCTTATACATATATGTGTAGTCTCCGGAGTTGTTTAGTGCAAATGGACCGTCGAGAGAGGCCCGCAGGACCGTCTCTAAGCCTCCGGGGCTGAAAGTAATGAAGTCCCCAGATGATATGACCTCGCACGGTCGTGCGTGTGGGTGTGTGGGTGTGTGTGTGTGTGTGTGTGGGTGTGTGTGTGTGTGTGTGTGTGGTATATCATAGTGAAACTCCTCGTCCGTCCCCTTGTCCGCTCTGCTCTCTGCCACCCCGTCATCGTCGTCTGCGATGTCGTTTGTTTTTCGAGGCCGGCGGAAGGGATAAAACGTCACTCGGCTCATTTCCGAGTTTCCCAACTTTTATGACAGCGGAAACGTGACGGCCCGTCGGGGAAACCAGAGCCGTTTCTCCTCACGTTCGACCGTCTTCTTCCGCGGGGTATCCATTTTTTTTTTGAACTATACTTTTGACTTTAGTCCCGCAGCTAAACACTTTTACAGATTAACCGGGACCCAAACATTTTCGCTGTCAGTTGTCACTGTTGTAGGAGAATAATATTACTAGTCATTTCTCAAAGCCAACACCTGCGAACAACTATTTCCAATAATAACCGCCTTTTGACACTCTTACCTGCAGATACTATGGTTTCGTGTAAATACATAAATTAATAGTAACTCTTAGAGTCCGGATTCTTATGCAAAAACTTATTTTTTTTAACTATTGTTGGAATGCTGTTCGATGTGAGTGAGAAATGATTGCGTTTCATAACCTGTAGGATTCATCAAAACATTTTTATTTACATATCGGTGCTTATTTTGACTCAAGTGGACATTTGTGAATATTTTAGCTTATGTTGTATGAATTATTGTTGTTCATCATAAACAAATATATTAGATTCTGAGTGGAATTATGAATGTGTTGATTTTATAATGACGTGTGTTTTTTTTTTATGTTTTTTTTTTGTGTCTATCATCACGATTTGGGGCAGTAAAACTTCTTCGATTTTCTTCAACAGTATCTTGTTCGATGGGAAAATGAATCAAGTTGGTTCATACTCGAGGTCAAATTTTAAGATTCCCAATAGTTTTTACAAGAGTTGGGTAAAACAACATAAAAATTCAGAAAAAACTGGAATTTTTTCCTCAAAATCGGTTTTCACAAAATATATTTTGGTTTTTGGGCAACTCTAAAACGAATAAATGTATGTACATGAAATTTTCACTCGTCGTTTATATTTGCATTTTCTATACACAATAAAATTTTCAAAATATTTTGATATGTATTGAGCTTTTTACGGATATACTCAGTTACCAACTTGTTTAGGTTTTTTTTCTATGAATATCAATAAAACTTCATTTGTTTGGCAAAAAAGATTGAAAATTTAATAGAAAGCTAATATTATGTTGTTACAATGACTTTTGAAAAATATTAAAAATCGTTAGTCATTGTTTTTTTTTATAAGCATTTAAAGTTCAAATATTGACAAAATACTGAAAAAACACAACATTTTGAAAATTATTTTTAGTAAGAAATTCATAAAAATTTTTCTTTTTAAATCTAATAAGATTTGAAAATGTAATACAATATTTTTCATTAAATTTATCAAAAAAAAAAAAATGTAAACCGAAAAGTGAAATTTAATTTTGATGAGCATTTTAAATTCATATTTTTACAACATTTATTATTCACTCGATTTTTCATTTAACGATTTTCTTATTTTAATAAATTTCAAAAACTAATGACTCTAGATACATGCAAATTTCACTGAATGTTTATTTTATAAATTCTTATACTTGATAAAATTTTCAAAATATTTAGACTTGTTTTCAGTTGTTTAAGGAAAATTTCAGTTTTCAATTTTTTTTAATTTTTATTGTTTTGCCAAATGGTGTAAAAATTTAATAGAATTCTCCTGATATATTGTTACAATAACAGTTAAAAAATATTAAAAATACATGTTCACAATTTTTTTTTATAAGCATTTAAAGATCGAATTTTGACAATATTTATCAAATTTAAAATTAAATAATTATTTAAAAATTAGTAGTTAAAAATGTATAAAAAGTTCAACTTATATATCTAAGGATTGAAAATTTTAAGCAATATTGCACGTAAGTAGTTAATTCTGTTACCAAAAAATCTAAAAAATACACAAGCACAGTTTATTTTTATAGTCATTTTAAGTTCAAATTTGGACAAAATTATATATTAAAAAACCTAGAATAACTATTTTAGTTATTACTTATTTTGTTGTGATTGAATAATATCATTCGTTTGTACTTGAAACTTCTAAAGTGTACTATTATATATCTATGATAGTATCATGGTTTGTTGTTGATGTATAACGCGTTATAAGTACCTAATGGATATTGTGATACTATTAATTTGGAATTTATTATAGATACCTATTATAGGTCAATATTTATTTTTTTTTAATACCATAGATAAGTATATAATATGTCTTATACCTAGACTTTCATACCGTCTCCGTTCAGAATCGTTTTTCTTATACAATGATATTATATCATTGAATTCAAATTTAATACCATCCATTATACAGTGACCCTTTGCAACCTACTGCACAGCAGAGCACTTTTTTTTATACTGATAACATACCCCCGAGGCCACTACACACCATAAATAATAATAGATTACTAAGTACCTACACGACGTCTCTTTGTATCTATTATCTGTAAATCTGTAATTATCTGTATTATCTGTTATCTATAAATAATCTTATTACGATAATATGATCGGAACTCCAACCAGCATATCATATACCTACTAACCGATTAAAAAAAAAAAAAAATAATACGATGTTGCGTAAAAATTTCCGTTTTTTCTTAATTTTATTTTTGTTTTTGCAGCACTTTTGAAAACTACTTTGAATTTTAAATTTTGATCTCCCCAAAGTATTAACTAGATTCTTTTCCCGACTGAAAAAATACTGATGTGGAAAATCGAAACATTATTTCGATTACTTATCGAAAAAAAAAAAAATTTAAAAAATTTAAATACACACATCATTGTAAAATCAATACATTCATCACTCCGCTCAGAATCTATAGTGAAAACATGTAAAATGAAAAATAGTAACAATTTAATTTGTCAACAGACAAATTATTTCACTAAACTATGTTGATGCGTAACAGTCGGG